AGGACATTTTAGTCCATCTATCCAGTACTTCTGCGCCAAAAACTTTAATCTGTTTAAATTCTACAGGATTTCCTCTTTAATTTGATACCCATTCGTCTTCTCTAAGCACATTTCTCTGAGTTTTTTTAAAAATAATTTTTGAATTACTGACGTCAGAGTGAAAAACTAAAAACGCAATTTTACTATATTTGGCCCATGGTTTCGCGAATATCTTGATATTTGTGTTTAAAATTTACTATCGCGAGTTGTTATATGTATAATGAGCTCGACATTTATAAAAAAATATTAATTATTAAATAAAAAAAGAAATATAACCAATACTGGTCAAGAAAAGGAGTTTCTATTATTGCCATCAGTGCAAATTATAAATCCCGAAAATCCCGGGATTATTCGCCGAGAAGCCCGGGATTTTTGGGACCTTAAAAAGGCCGGGAATCCGGGATCCCGGGATTAAAATTCCTAGTAGGTATACACACGTAAATGTTACTATGTGTTGTGAATTACGGTGCGAACAACTAGCAGTTAAGGTGTTGCGTATGTACGTATGTGCCCTGCAAGACAGCTGAGTATCATATGAGTACTCATATTATCATTATCCCTAATCACAAAAGTGCTTATCAAAGTCCCCATTTTTCGTTCAGGCCATGGGTAAAAATTGAGTACTTTCCGCTCAATGTTGTCATCAGAAAGTCCTCAGTACTAATAGTCAAACTACTCATTTATGCCGTACTACAAAAACAAAAGTGTAGATGTGTGAGAATTTTTGCCTAAAGTGCTCAGCAATGTCTTGTAGGGTGGATGCACTTATCACATACACTCGAATGCACTTTTGTTGGTGTGTAGGTGCCCGCGGGCGTCAGCAAAACTTTTGTGAAAGTTTGATCTTTAATATAATTTTAGATTCGTTTGCGCCAGATTCTCTCTCTGTTTTGCAAAAGTTTGAGATAATGCAGATAACTATAATAGAATTAATAAATGATAAAAATTTCAGCCGATTCAAGGTGCATTTCACATACAAAACCCATTTTAACTTCTTGAAAGGACTTACACAATAATAGTTTTGACGTAGAATACGTCTTACGTTTCGATATGGAGGCTATGTTCAAATGATGTAGTTGCAATTTTTTGAGCTTCACGAAAAGGCTCATTGCACGAGAACTACTAAAGCGATTTCAAAGAAAGGTATGGTGTTGCGAAGATAAAGTTCCAAACCTGCCGACAGATTCATTTTTGTAATTAACCACTATGGTTTCGGTCGTAGAAGCAACGGTAAATATTTAGGGTGCTATTTGTCATATTTGCTCTTTTGTACTATTTTTTTAGAACAGTTGTAAAATGAAACTTGTGAGCATCCCATACTTTTTCGTGTGCTATTGTACAATATTTTAACAATTATATTTGACAAAATCAAAATTATTAAAACAGCTTTAGAAAGTTTATAATGCCCAGAAGAGGCGAGAAAAGCAAATTAATGGCTGCGATTTGCGAGAAGTACGCGCAGGACGCAATGATGGAAGGAAGTGAGTCGTCAAATAAGTCATTTATGAGTTTTTTAAATTTATTTGGTGCATTTTTGTTAGGCGATGAAGATGAGGAGGAAGAGATCGATGAAACTTTTAGGTTGAATATGCTTGTGTTGTTGGCAAATCGCCGAAGTGTCCACCTAGGAGTTCCGAGATCAAACAATTGGGATCTGAATGTGTTACAACCTCAAAAGGCGGTTTTCTAAAGGAAAATCAATTAGGGACTTCTCTTCCGACACTGTCCACATATGGTTTGGTTTTCCCCGGACACGCTTAGTTTTGCACTGAATTAAAAAAGATCTTTAATAAGTTAAATATGTTATAAATTAAAGATAACTTACTCCATTGCCATGAGATTACTCCATTTTTTTATTTGAAGTTTGAATATTTTATTGTACTCAGACAAGGAAAAATGTAAATAAATAGAAATGTCTGATCCAATAGCACTCACAAATAGCAAAGTAAACATATTTTTCAAAGTTGTATTGTAATACAACAATTTTACTTGTAAAGCAAAAACAACACTTTTAAAACTGTTCTAAAAAAATAGTATAAAAGAGCAAATATGACAAATAGCACGACTTGTGAACTCCCTAATTGGCTTATTTTGGGGTAAATTTTGAGCCTTTAAAGTGCTCTAGCAACTTATGATTTGCAGATATAACTTTCATTTTTGGGATATAGTAGGTTCTTTGGAGCAATTACAATATTATCGTATACAAATTTTATATATGTACATTCAACAAATATTAAGCAAAAAATTGTTGAAAAAATTAACAATTTTTTTTTTATTGGGAAAATGCTCGAATGATTTTGTTTTTGTTTTCTTTAATCAAAAACTCAAGTTTTTTTCTTTCGTTTGGTATATGGGAAGTATTGGTTGATATCTTCTAAGTTTGTTTATTTTATTCTAATATATGGGCATAAATGATTTTCCATACAAAATCACTTCGTTATCATTTTGCAAACACATGCATGCGCTGGAAGTGAGAGAAGGAGACAAAAATTATGTATGTATGTATGTGTAGGTATTTCGGCTTTTGATGTCGCAATATTTATTACCTAAACGCAGCGTATGTATGTAAATATATGCATACATATGTATGTTAATTGCAGTTAATGTGGTATTTTTTTCAAAAGGAGTTACCACCTGATAAAAAATTAAATTCAAATTACTTTTAATTTAAATCAATTATTCACTATGAGTATCGATCGAAATGGTTTTGAAAAGGCTTTATTTCTTAATTGTATGTAGGAGGTTTGCCACCTGTTTGAAAAAGAAAGTTCGACTTAAATGAAGGCAGAAAAATTGAAATATATATCCTGATATAGATGTCCGACAAAAGAGGCTGTGGTTTGAAAATATTTTGCAGAGGGTTGCCACCTTCTTACAAAGTTAGATTTAATATAAGCAATAAGTTAAATAAATTACTTCAATATGAACATAAATCAAAATTACTTTGAAGAAACTTTATATCCAAACTGCATATAGGAGGGTTGCCACCTGATTTTTTAATTAAATCCAATTTTAATTAAGAGCATTCGATAATTTAAATATGTTTCACAATACAAGTGTCAGACGAAAGAGGTTTGGATTTAAAAATATTTTGAACAGGATTGCCATCTGTTTGAAAAGTCTAATTAAATTAAATTATATGAGATATTGAATAGTGGGAGTCAAACAAAGGAGTATTAAGAAATATTTAGTTTGAGCATTTATAACATTAAAGAGGGTTTCCACCTGTGTAAAAAGTTAAACTCAAATTATCTAATAAGTCAAATGAATTTTCAAAGTATGGGTGTAAATTAACATGGGTTAAAAATATTTTCTTCTGAACTTTATATACGAGGGTTGTCATATATTTTAGAAATTAAATTCAACTTGAATTAAGGGAATTAGATACACAATTTAAATATGTATCGCAAAATGTGTTTCAGTTTAAAAAGCTTTAACAAGGTTTTGGTTTTAAAATATTTTGAATAGGGTTGCCGTATGTTTTAAAATTAGAATTTGATTAATTTAAGAAAATTCATACCATCGCACAGAGAAGTATTTGCATAGTTAAAGCGGTTAAAATTATTTTATGTGTTCTTCTATTCAGTAATGAAATAGAACATGGAAATTTATAATAATTGGGGGTTTATAGGATATAAAGAGAATAATTGCACTTTTCTTAAAATCCCCTTCCATATATCCACATTAGGAATGTTAATCCCGGGAGCCCGGGATCTTGGCCTTTTTAAGTGCTGATTATTTGCCAAAATCCCGGGAATTTCGGTATTTGTAATTTGCAATGGTGGCAATAATAGAAAAGCCTAAAGTCGACCAGTTTTTGCTATATTTGCTTAGTTTATTTAATATTTAATATTTTTTTATAAATGTCTAGCTAATTATACATACATATAACACCGCGCGACAGGCAATTTTACACACAAAAAAATCAATATACTCGCGAAGTTTTTGGATAAATATATGCAATACAATTGCGTTTTTAGTATTTCTCTCTGACGTCAGGATTTTTTAAAAGGACTTTGAAAATTGAATAAGATGAGTAATTCAGAAAATGATTAAAAAACTAGTACAGTGTACCTGAGAAAACAGTATGGGTATCAAAGTAAAGAGAAAATTTTGTAGAGAAATAACAGATACAATTTTTTGATACATAAGGTATTGAAAATGTCCTTAGAAATTGTATCCCTGAATATCCTTGAAATTGTGCAATATTTTTTTTGAAAAAATTATATGTTAAGGACTAATTTAAAAACGACAACGTCCTCGGATATAGTCTTTCTAACTTTATTAGCATAAAGAAAAATATAATTGATTAAAATGGCATTTTCAATACCTGTTCGTCCTTGAGAACCCAAAAAATTTTAATTTTTTTAAATCCTAATCAAATCTAAATCTAAATCAAAAGACTAAAAAGTAGAAAATAAAATTATAGTTAAAAAACTAAAAACTATAAAATAATTTATAGATATAGTGATTCCGTTTAGGAAGAATAGCAAGTTCTCTAACTTGATTTAATTTAACTTCTTTAAATTAAAGTGATTGGCCCGTAGTCATAGTCAAAATAAAGTCCACTGTTAAGTGTGTTGCAGTTTTTGCAGTTGCAGTTTGACCTACAAGCATCCAACCTGCTTGAACCCTCATTTATTTTTCACGCAAATAGAGGTTCTAGTAATTTTCATGAAGTCCGAATTAAAATGTTTTGTGACATAATTTTACTTTAAGTAAGTTTCATGTGGTGAATTTAGCGCAAGGTCCATTTACAGAGATATTAGTAATGTTTCAAATACATCGACGCACATCGTTTGCCTCCCTACGTATTGTTTATTCTGTGGTAAAATTTTGTGAGCGTGATTTCATACTTCTAATGGAGTTTTCTTTTCTACAACAAAATGTTGCCCTCTCTGTTCCCTCTACTCACAAATACTAAGGTGAGCGATTTTTTTTTAACGTAAATAGATACTCACCATCGGTTGTTGTGGTTGATCTTTCATGGTTTGTATTTGTGCGGTGATTTGATGTTGTTGCAGTTGATGTTGTTGCTGCTGTTGTTGATGGTGCTGATGCTGTTGTTGCTGCGTCAGCTGTTGTTGATGATGTTGATGTTGCTGCTGCTGATGCTGTTGTTGTTGCTGTTGCTGTTGTAGCTGTTGGGCAGACTGTACCTGCTGAACTTGCTGTTGACTGTGTTGTTGATGCTGTAAATGTTGCTGGTGTTGATGTTGCTGCAACGTATTCAATTGTTGCTGCTGCTGCTGCTGATTAGAACCCAGAAGCACACTGTTCTGGGTGGCACTCGGGTTTGGCGATTGATGCGGCAAAACAGTGGCTAACGATTGGGCTGTTGGACTTAGAGCCGCATGGGCTGTGGTCACAGTCGCTGTGGCTTGACGGGGTGATGAAGCGGCTGCTGTGGCGGTAGCAGCGCCGTTAGCGGCATTTACTTTACTAGACTTTGCGGTTGATGGTTTGCGACCGCGTGCCTGCAAATATGAAATACAGAAATTATTAAAGTGAAAATAAATAATTAATTGAAGTAACTTGTATATACATATGTACATATGTATATCTACTCATATGCGCATATTTGGCAGTAAAGCCCCGGCTGGTAGTCATTACACTAAACAATTTGGCAATTTTTGTCGAATTTATTTGCCATCAAAATCTCAAATTAACCAAATGTCAAATATAATTGCTAAAGTAATAAAAGTAAAACCAAAACACTTATTTACTATTATTTGCCGTCGCATTTGCAATCATCTAGTATGCGTGCTTATGTTTTTGGCCAATAAATTGCATACGTTTACAAATTGCCAGCCACAAATTCCAGCTTAACTGTCATAGCTGTTGTTGGTTGTGGTTGTTGCTTTTGTCGTGGTGCTTTGAGTTTACAAACTTATTATTACATGAATTCACATGGGTGTGTCCATATGTGGTTGTGGGTGCGAATGATTGACCTTTGTGGTATTGGCTTGCGGTGTACCCTCTGGTGGTTGGCCATGGCCGCCACACTGCCTGTTTTGTACATGTGATTTTCATATTTTATGAATTAAATATCACAATTAAAATATAATTGAACGATACAAACGGGCACACAAAAAGGCAGACATTAATAAACAAAAGTGGAAAATCGCAAAACCCTTCGATAATATACGTACATGTGTATGTAGTTGTAATCCCACAGCCACACTCAAATCGGCAGAAATAAATTGTTTTATTTTGTTGGCTGGAGTCTTTTCGAATACACAAATGCAAAATTATTATAGCAAAATTTGTTGCTCATAAAATCGTTTTTTATTCATACTAATTTTCCTTTTTGCTAACGAGACAGCAATTTTAGCATTTCACATGCAATTTTAATTGCTAATATAGGAATTTAACGCGCCGTCACACCAATCGAAATTAATTAAACCTATACTTCAGCCCGCTCAGCTTGTACAAATAGAGTCTATAGACATAGGCAGCAGAAAATGTATTCAAACATTTTGCAATCAAATGCAAATGACATCGAAAAATAATAGGGGTATTCTCGCAGTCTTACAAAACCCTTGCACGGTGCATGGTGCCATCTGTGCACCGTGCAAGGGTTTTGCAAGACTCAGAGAATACCCCTAATGCTCAATAAAAGATAAAAATTTGCTTAGTTTACAAAAATTTCGAATTAGAAAATGAGACAAATTTTTAACTTAATTATTGTGGTACAGGCTAATACTTTCTAAATTGAAACTTTGATTGCTACATGGGACATTTAATATAAATAAGGCGTAACGTTTTTTTTGGCTGAGTCGAAGAAACGCTTATTAGCATGTTGCCTTCTGTCGTACATGAATTCAGTGTTCTAGGTAGAGATAAGGATTAGCACGCAGGCTCAACGCGCTATGTTAATAAAAAATTAAATGACTAGAGAACGAAAACATTTCTGAACATATTAGATTAAATAAAGATAAAGAAAAATTTGGGTAACTCACAAGTTGTAAGAAGCTTCATAAATGTTTGGAATTTCTTTGAAACCATAAAATACCAATAAAACTTTTCAGCAAATCATACAGAGAAAAACCAGTTGGATTAGAAAAACTGTCTATATTTAGGACCACCGTTCGAAGTAACATTCTACTCAAGATCTATGGACCCCTTTCACGTTTTAAAGCGCCTTTCACTCGACACCTATGGGTATGTAACAAACATAATTGAAGGACAATTTAGTGGAGTTTGTCTCCTGTTATTATGAATAACTGATACAGTTTAATTTGCTCTTGAACCAATGCGACAAATGGTTAAATATTTGTTGGTTGATTGAAATGGTTGGTAGAAAGAAAATTTAACAGAAAAGGTGTGCTGCTGTAAATGCTATTTGTAAAACTCTCCTTAACAGCCACAGCGAACGATTTATGGGATACGAGGGAAATACAAATTAGCTATACTAACTTTAACTTTTATTTCATTTATTGATGTTGTTACATAAATGGAGGGGCCGACAGTTTTACGCCGAGTCCGAATGGCAAATGGATTTTCTAATTTAGACAATGCCTGAAGCAGTGATCGAACTCAGGTCCTGCGGAGTGATATTACGCACCTCAGCCGCAGTGCCGTTTAGCGCATATAGCATATTCCAAAATGCAAAAAAATACAAAAAATCTTTGCGCATTTTCATTTGACCACTCATTATTTCGTATTTATCCATCGATTTTCTTCATCAGCAACTTGATTTTTTTTTGTAAAGGAACAGGCTTACCACTACACCATAGCGGCCCTATATTAAGGTTATATTGTCGAAATTAAGTTCGCGAAGTAAATCCACCTCTCTACTGAGAAGAATCAGATGAAAAAATAATATGTACATATGTTAAGAGATAACTTTGGATAACGTGAACCGTTTTCGATAATTTTTTTATAATAAGTGTTTTCCATCGAAAAGGTGGTATCCCATACAAATTTGATTTAGTTCCGATCAATGGAAACTAACGGTATTGCTAAATTTTGTATTGCATTTAATTTTATTCTTCAGTCAGTTTTGAAGTCGATACTTTTTTACATTACTTGTTGTGCGTTAAGACCGATTTCGCGAAATAGCATACTAACCATTTGGGAAAATGAATTTAGATAATTGCATTGTCGTCGTGGTCGGAACTATGCTGAAAGTCTTCAATCCGTCGCTTACTGGGAAATAAAAGCTTTTAAAAAACAATAAAAATATGTAAAGCTTCAGATAAACAGCTAGTAACGGTCTTCATAACGTTTTTTTGCGACGCCATATAAACTAAAGATGGTGTCTGGAAGTAGGTCCTTTAAGATTTTTTCCAAAAATATTGGTCACAAAACTTTTTTGGACACTAATAACTGTCCCGTATGTATGTACATATGCCCATTTGTATGTGAATAGATTTAGTTGTGTCTCGAACGAAGCCGCACTATTCTTCCTCCCCGTTACTGCCACCAACATTGCTAACCACAGAACTCACCAAGCAAACACCGATGGCCTACCAACTGTCATCTTGACGACCAATAGGATTGCAAGTTTTTGTGTTTGGACACTTTGGTGTCTTGAAATAACCATTTGCCGCATGACGCCACCAGACAACATTCTCTCAATCTCGGTGTTTAAAAACAGTTAAATCATTAAAAAACTTGCTGAATAATTTCCTAAAACGTAATCATAAATAATCCAATAGGGAACAGATTTTTATTTTGATTTACTATCAAAATTTCATCGATGTTACCACCAGCACGCTTTTTTTCAAATGAAAATATGGCTGTCAAACTATCGAACTGCCTGCAATAGATGTCAAGCAATAAGCGCTGACATATATTGCAGCCCATGAGAAATAGGCGATCTCCATTAGAAATATATTTTGTGACATGGTTATCACGACATCACTGCTTTCCTGTGGAGACAGGGCCTAACGCATTTCAGACAAATACGAATTTATGACTGTATTTTATGGTGTTTAATATTTCAAGAGGAAAGCGACAGCAGACGCCATAAAAGCGTACACACATCAATCCAGCCAGCATTTAGGAGATACATAATTGAAACAGACCAAGTAACGAAAAGATAAGAGTATTTTTTTTTTGATCGTGAAACAAATTAACACACGATTTCTCCTAAACGACGGATCATGATTTTGTTCTTTTAGCCGTTAAATCCAATGCTCGTTTATATTAAGGTTCGAAAAATTTTGTTTGAAGTCTATGTAGATGTTGGGATGATTCAAATTTTTTACAGCCGGTTTCACCAGCAATTTAAAGGGAAAATGATTTTTTATTTTCTGTCAATTTCCATATAAAATTCTAAAAATGAAAATTATTTTTCATTTAAATTGCTTTCGTGAAACTGGCTGTAAGGCCAACACCTTTTCATAATTATTTACTTCACAAGTTTGTTAGTTGTCACAGAAATTGTATCTATTTAAACCACGGATAAAAGAAACAATATGTTTTGCCGATACAAAAATTTTTTAACTGGTAACTTACCTAAGTCCCCATTTCAGTTTTTGTAAAAAAAAATAGATTACATTACATTTGTACAATTTCGCTATCATTTAGGAAGTGTGATCTTTTGATTTTCAAAAGGCACCAAAAACTAGGAAAAAAGTGTTTTACCACACTAAAAGCACCCATTTTTTTGAATCAAGGGATGAATTTTTCATAACATAATACCGAAGTACTGCACATTAAAACTGGTATATCTCGAGAAAGAAAAATCGAATCGCAAGAAACGAAAATGATGCCCTAATTAGAAATGAGAAAATAGTTTGATGTTTTCATTATATAACCTCAAATATCGCTAAAAACCGTGTTTTTGGCACTTTGGGGTTAGGATATCTCAAAATTCTAGTGCTCGAGCAATTGTGTGTCCAGATTTGGATTCAGCACTAAGAAACGATGTGTTTTACTCAGGTGGTAAAAAAAAACAAAATCTGTACAAATAAGTAGAAAAGAAAAAAAGAAATACTGAACTTACTTGCGTACTAGCATTTTCAACGCGAATATTTAGAATTAAAAAAGGTGGGTTTGCAACTTGAGCTTTTTATCAATCATGGTTGTATTTTAGTCCATTTAAATTTGTAGGTTCTTATAAATTCAGTGCTGACACAGCTTTAAATATTTCAAATTATTTCAGGTTTTAACTAACTCGAAGTAATTTTACTTCAGAAAAAAGCATTCAAAAAGGCACTAG